CAGGCTCTACCCCAACTCCCCTTCACCCTGTCTCCTGTGCCCCAGGAGGGCAGGCCTCCCTGTGAGCCGCTCTGGGTACCTCCCATGCCTCCCAGCCCAAGGTCTTGTTCTCCCAAGGTGACCTCAGGGTCACTCTGGGAGATGGAGACTAAGGTGACAGAATCAACTGCTGTGGTTTTGCTCTGCATCACCCCACTGCAATGTGGAAAGACTTGGGCAGCCCCTAAGCAGGGACAACTGGTCACCCACCAAGCAGTGTCGGGCAGCCTTCCACCACTCTCCTCCCTTGCCTGAGCACTTGAACTTGGCTTGCCCAGCTTATACTGTGCCCAGTCCTTCCATGGAACTGAGCAGCCTTGCTTTGGGGTGCACGTGGGTGCTGTCACAATGGGGGGCAGATGATCTGCTGTGTCTCTGGGGGATGAAAGCCCAAGCTGTTCCTTGCCTCCAGCCCAGGGAGGCATTCCTTAGGAAGAGTCCAGAACACAGCACCCTCACAACTGCTGACATATCAACTAGATATGTCAGCAAAGGGAGCAACGAGCAGCTCTGCAGAAAAAGCTCATGAGAGCTTGCATGCCATGAAGCCCAAAAGGACATGGCCCTGCACGGTGGTGGGTGGCAAACAGGGCACATGGAACCTGGGAGTGGAAATGCCGCTCGAGGCCGGTCGTATTGAATTCATTCAGTATGCTTAGGGAAAGAGCTGGGCGGCACTCAAAGACACTGATGGTACAAGGTTCTAACTTCAGAGCTATTTTCACTTTCTCTTTTGTATTTTTCTAAAAAGACAAATTTAGGGCAGTGAAGTTAATCATTGTGTGAAACAATTTATTAGCTATTTGAAAGGCAAAATGTTAGAGACAGAGCTTGCATCCACTGAGTCACCCCCCCAAGTGCCCACAATGGCTGCGATTGGGCCAGGGACTCACTGGGGTTTCCCACGTGGGTACTGGGGCCCAAGCCCTCAGGTCATCTGCTGCTTTTCCAGGAGTGTCAGCTGGGGGCTGGGACAGGAGTGGGAGCAATCAGGGCCTGAAAAGACCCCCAGACATTGGGATGCAGGCTTCATGCCAACACTCTGGTCGCATATTAATTTTACAATCAGTAAGAACTGTTTCTGTGCTAGCATGGCCAGTCCTTCCTTCTCAGTGGAGCCGGAAACTGAAGCCTTGGAGCAGGGTGCAGAGGGAAGATACAGCACTACTATTTCCTTAGCCTGAGCTGCCCGTAGACCCTGTATGGGGGTCTCCTGCTGGGGCTTCCACCAAGCACCACTCTGGGCAACCTGCCTCTTCCTCCTAGGGGTTTCAATTTCTGCCATTAAGACCTGTTGACTGCAGTTCCATATGCAACCACACGAGGGCAGCATAGCCTCACTGATGGCTCCTTCAGCGCCTGCCCTCCCAAAGCCCCTGCCTCCAAGGCCAGAGGGGACAGTGGTTACTGCGGGACCTGACACTCCCACTCCAGAGGAAACCAGCAAGGACAATATTGTTTCATAAGCTTGGGGAAGACTCTCCCACCCTCTGTTATGCCTCCCAGCCTTGCTGTGCTTGGAATAGTTCACCCTCTGAGCTGACCGTTTGAGCCCCACCCAGCTTGTGGAGATGGACTTGCTGTGTGGTCCTGAACAAGCCTCTGTGCCTTCCTCGGCCTTAGCAGCTGGCCTGTCCAGCTGGGTCCCTATGCAGCTGGCCCTCCACAGTGGACTCTGGCTGGAGATGATGCGTTCCACCAGTGCCCAAGGGCCTACTCTTGGCCATCCGTTAGCTTATTCTGTTCAACCCAATTTTGAAGGGAAAGCAGCCCTGATGTCCCAGCACGCTCCAAAGCAGCATCTAGGAGTGGCCTCTCCTCTTTGTTATCCTGCTTGGCCCCTGAGTCCTGGCTGACCCCATGGGCACTGTGGCCAGGACACCATGCCCTCTCCTGAATGTATCTGCCCCTTGGGTCTGTGTGAAGGGATTTTGAGGGGCCTGGAAGTGTGGACCCAGGGACAGAGGAGGAGAGGTGTTCCCCCACCCCACACCCTGACTCCCAGGAAACTTCCTCCTCCAGGACCTGACTGCGCCTAATTCCCCACCCCTAGCAGACCGCTGGGCTGTGCTCCCTCTGTCACACATGATCCAGTGTCTACCATGCTGGAGACTTCCTGTCCAGGAGCGGTGGGTGGGCACTCAGCGAATGTCTGCTGACACATGCCGTTTCCACCATGGAGCATGCTGGGAAGCAGGAGGGTCCCCTGCTCGCTGGGACAGCCTGAAGCACTGTGTGCGCCCTCTATCTTACCAGTTTTGTGTTAATACCCATCCTCATGTGGGTCACGGACCAGGACTATTTTAGCAGCAGGTTCCCGAGATAGTTCAGGAAAGAACCAGCACCTTCTGGACAACTTTGCCTGATTCGGACTTTGGCCAGTTCTGGCAGGTGGGAGGGACAGTTCTCTGTCCTGCACACCTGCTGGGGTTTTAGCACACACTGACCCCAGGGTCCAGGAGGGGCGCAAGGTGGGCCTGGTGGGCTGGTTCTGACTCTGCCTGAGGGCCAGGGTGCTGGGACTGCAGGGGAGGCTGACGGGCCCTTGTCCCCAGCTGCCTGGAAGCCTGCTGGATGTCTGCAGGGCTTCCCTCTGGCCTGGCCTGGGCAGACTGGGCCTGTGGGGAAGCTTGCAGCCTCTTTATTCCTTGTAAGCCACTGCAGTCACCCGGGGCTGATCAAAAGGCATGGGCGTGGTGCAGCATGACAAAAGTTCTGCCATGGGAGCTCTGGGATGGTGTGTGCCTTCACTCCTCTCACCTGCCCTCCTCTCCCTTGGGCTGGCAGCAAATGAAAAAAAAAAAAAATACAGGGCCCAATGCAGTAGCCTAATGGCTAAATCCTTGCCTTGCATCCACTGGTATCTCATATGGGCACCGGTTCGTATCCCAGCTGCTCTCCTTCCCATCCAGCTCCTGCTTGTGGCCTGGAACTTCTGTCTGTCTTCTCTGTAGATCTCCCTTTCCAATAAAGATAAATAAATAGTGTATATAAACTGAAGCAGCAGCCCAGACACCCCAGCCCACAGCGGTAACCTCTTAAGGGCGTTTCGATTGTTAGGTGTCCAAGAAAACGTGCACACACGCTGGCGAAGGAAGTGGCCACAATGGGAGGAGGAAGAGGGAGCGGTCCAGGGAGCAGAGGGGGAAGAATGCCTTTTGGCAGCTCCCATCCTGTAAGCTGGCTCCTCTACCCGCCTGGGCCCTGAGCACGGAAGCAGCAGGCAGAGGATCCCAGGAGTCCCTCCAGGGGGCAGGGCGGCCTTTCCGGAGGTGAGGTGGCAGGCGTGGCCGTGGTCCTCAGAGCGCCCTGCAGGCCACGAGGACAGAGCCTTCCAGGGTGCAGCCTCAGCCTGCCCCGCCTGCCACATGCCTCAGCTCTGTAGCAGCTCCTCCCTGGGACAGACAGGTGCACACTCCCTACCTCCTCCCCCTCGTACACACCCCTGCCACGCTCAGCACTCCTCCCTGTCTCCTTCCCCTGATGGGAGGGATGCTTTGGAAAAGGTGACAGCTATGGAGTCAAGGTTGACTTCTTCGGCAACAGCCTGTGGTCCCAGGAAACACACCAGGATGACCCCAGAGGCCGGTGGCCACTAATGATAAACCACCAGGAAAACGATTTTGCCCACCGAAGGCAGAAGTCCACATCATCACCTAGTGGGCACAACTTTTAGTTCCACTTTGCCCTAACTCGGTGGGAGGCGTGGTAATCTCTCCCCCTTTGCAGCTGCCATCCTCTGCCCCCCAGAACTGCTTGTGACAGAGTAGCACCCAGTGCCAGCACCTGCTGGCCACGGCACCAGGGAGGACGGTGCCCAGATTCATACCATGCAGGTAAGGGTGACGTGAGCTTGGCGATGGCTCTAGCACCTGTGCCCAAACTAGATCACTTGTATAGGTGGTGTGTATGTGTGTGTAGCAAAGACCAGGCAATGCGTGGTAGCACTCTGGGGGGCCATCTGTCCCGAATGTGCCAGTAGAGCCCTGCTCCTGTCAAGCATGGGGCAAGACTGATGTCTGCCAGTGCACAGGTGACTCCATCTGTGTGAGAGTGGACAGACCATGGCAGGCTCCATGTGCCCGGGGAGCTGGGCTGCTGCCATCCTGGGGCCAGGGCACGGGATCCATGTGCCCGGGGAGCTGGGCTGCTGCCATCCTGGGGCCAGGGCATGGGCACCATGAGTTCCTGGAGCTTGATTAGCTGTGTGCCTGCAGGCAGGTTCCTGTCCCTCTCCCTGCCTCCCTTTCCCTCAAGGCAGTGCTGCTGCACGGATTGGGCCGGAAGCGCCCTCTGCAGATCCGCCATACTGGAGGGCCCTGGCAAGGTCACTGCTGAGGCCAGCGGGTGGGGGCAGGGTCTTGCAAGACACTTTGGGAAGGGGAGGTTTCAGGACCACCCCATCCCTGCCCCAGTGTTGTCCCAGGTCCATGGACCACTGCTGACTGTCCAGTCTGCGATCCCATGGAGGACCCAGAGGAGATGGCCCTTGCTCTGGGTATGACAACAGCAGGAATAAGAGCTCCATCTCTGGAAGATTTTTTTTTTCAAAACAGGATTAAGAATATATATTAAATGACTGTTTTATTTACACGCCCTCTTCATAAATAATTGAAGCCTCTTTTGGACCGCACACCATTGCTTGAAGATGTCCTGTTGATGGTGCTGAGCTGCCGGGAGCAGAGCCTCTGTCCATGGGAGCCCACGTGCACACACACAGGCATACCCCCCAGGCTGGGCTGGGAGCCCTGGGCTTCCTGCCCACCCTTCAAGGTGTGAGTTCCCAGGGAGAACAAAGCAACACGCCCCGGGGAGCCGGTGCCCTGCCCTCCCTCTGGGCAGCTCTGTTTTTGTTCATCCTTCCCAGGCATCTCTTTGGATTTGCAAATAGTTTAATTCACAGAAATTCAGGAAGGGTTTGGGTGGGGGCTGGGATGGCTTCCGTCCCTCCGGCTGCTTTCAACTAGGCCTTCTTCCCCAGCCCCGGCCGAGTGCTGAGTGGCGACAGCCTTCTGGGGACACGCAGTGGTACCATACACATGACACAGACTGGTCACTGGCAGCAGGCAGGCAGGCAGGCGGGCGGCTGCGGGGTCCCAGCCCCCACCCGGGGCCGCTCTGCTCACAGGGTCCGCACGGCCACTGGGTAGAGGAGGGACAGGTGCTCCGCACCTTTGATGGGCAGCTTCCGGGTGGTGTAGTAGTGGATGACTTCCGGGACACTGTCAAACGGTGGGCTGTTCTGGCCCAGGACGTACTTCTCTTTGGTTTTGGCCAGTTTCATGTGCATGAAACCCTGATTACTCCTGTGGAATCAAACACAGAGATTGGTTAAGAACCTGCGGGACAGGAGGCCAAAGTGACCCTGTGGCCGGCTCGCTTGGTGGCATTTGGCAATTCTTGCTCCAGTGGTCGTCAGCCCCCAAGCAGCCGGCAGTTGTACACCAGAACGCTGGCCTGGGAGCAGCTGAGACGAAGCTGGGCCCGGGAGCACCCCTGAATCCAGCACCTCACCAGGGACAGCAGGGGTCACTACTCTCCTTCCCCGACTGATGAATGAGGAGACTGAGTATGGCAGGCCAGGATGGCAAGCAAGCTGTTCCCACTTTAGCAGTAGCACCTGGTCCTTGGGAAGGGGCTGCCTGGCCAGGGACTACATTTCCCAGCTTGCCTTGCATGTAGTTAGCCAGGGGACTAGCTCTGATCAGGCCACTGGGGGACATCATCACCCCGAAGCAATCACACAGCTCCTTGCACAGCATCCACCCGCCTGTGCAGTGTCCCCCAAGCTCCCGTGGGAAAGCCACGCACCATGCCATGTAGATCCTGGGGGCTCTCCCCAGAGGAATCAGCCTCGTTGTTAAGTCTTGGGTATTCTGTCTGTCGGAGTGTCAGAAAGCAGATGAGACATTCCTCTGAGGCCCAGCAGTATCTTTCTGGCCTGGTGCTTGTCTGATGCCTCCAGGGACACCTGCACAGCCACCTGCTCTTGCCTGCTGGAGCCCAGTTCCACAGAGAGCATCACCCAGGCCCCCCTCCCTGCCCATCAGGCCAGCTTCCCACCTGCCTGGAGGTGTCTGCTAGGTGCAGGGCACTGGTGGAGACGAGGGCAGAACAGGTGCCCTATGGACCAGGCAGCCTCCCCTGTGTCAGCACTCCAGGCGGAGTACAGCCTGAGATGGTCACAGTGGCTGGGACCTTTTCACTAACATGGGTGAAGCCCACTGCCATCTCTCCAGCCACTGGGCCTCCATCCACTGTCTTTCCTTCGCCCTTGGTCAATCCTGGACACCTGTGACCTGACAGTGGCCGAGGGCTCATCAGGGAGCAGGAGGTGGTGGCCTGGCCAGCAGCTGCCCTCTGGTTCCTTTCTGTCACTTGCATCGCTCCCACCTTTGCACTGGGGGACCCCACCAATGCCTCCTGCTGCTGGCACTGGGTTCCTTGAGAGCCCGCTCTATTAATACCTTAATCTGGGTTCCAGGACCATTTTCAAACGGGCAGAACAAATGGCTAATGAAGTGCAGGCGCCGAGCACTACATCTGTTCATAATAATGTATTTAGAGATGTCACCCCTGGCTTCAAGGAAATCATTTGGAGAGCAATTACAGTTTCAAGAGAGAATAATTCCTGTAAAGAATTGAAATTTAAATCAAGATTTTTTAAGGCTGCTGAGGTTCTAATTACAGCGCCTGTGGCAAGCTCTGCTTCCCCAGCGAGGGGTCACTGCACCGGAGGCTTCATTACTGTCGCGGCTGGGGAGCATCGGGTGCACTGGCTCAGGCCTTGGGGTGCCAAATGAGGAACACGAAACCCCACGGGGGCCAGCACTCCTCTACTGGCCATGGCCAGGATGGCCGATCCCGAGCCAGCCCGCCAAGGACTGTGACTGTGCCACGGTGCCGAGTGGCTGGGAATAATACAGTGGGGAGAGTGGAAAAGCTGGTTCCAGTCCCACCACCTATTCAGGTCCCTGCTAATGTGCCTGGGAAAGCAGAGGAGGATGGCCTTTGTGCTTGGGTCCTGCACCCACTAGGGAGACCCAGACAGAGTTCCAGGGCTGTGGGCATGAAGGATGCTGGGCAGGGAGCAGAGTACGACCTTGGGAGGTACCAAGCTGGTAATGCCTGGGGGAGTAAGAATTCAGGGCAAAGCAGAGGCTATGGAGGACAGGTGGCAGGTGGGGCTGAGCCCGACACCTCAGTTGTGCAGGCAAGCAGGTTCCGGCCAACTTTGCATCCCACATGAGCTTCCGTGACATTTGTCACTCAGCAGGGAGGCCAGTGATGGTGGCAGTGTCTCCAATGTCGCTGAAGGTTGAAGGTGGCAGAGGGAGGAACCTCTGAAGGTGTTGAGAGATTCCAATGGGACAGACATTGGACATGGTGGTGAAGATGCCACCTGATGTGCCCAGGTACCTAGCTGAGGGCGTGGGTTCAAGTCCCAGCTGCCCTTGTACCTGCGGCCTTCTGCTACGGCACGCCCTAGGAGGCAGCAGGTGACAGCGGCAGCATTTGTGCCCCTGCCATCTATGTGGGAGATACGGCAGAAATTTTGAGTTCATGTGGCTGCAGGCACTTGGGGAATGAATCAGTGGAGATGGAAGATCTGAGTTTCAAATAATAATAATGATTAGTAATAAAAAAATCCCCATGTGTTGTCTTGGTCTCCACTGCTGACAGGGAGGTGGGACAGCTGTCAGGCTAAGGGCCGCCACACTTTCCTCAATGCCTCCCAACCAGTGGGGCCTGCTGGTGTGCAAAGGAAGAGATGAAAATCTCAGGGTAAGGTGTGTGCCCAGCAGGGTCGGGGCTTCTTTGCAATGGCCAGAGACCAAAGACGGGGGCTCTCTCCCTTCATCACCCGCTTCTGGGCGCCTTGGAGCCTGCAGTATGAGTAAGGTGGGAGGCCTGCAGGTGAAGTCAGACCCAGCCAGGTGGGCCCAGGGTTGGGCCTGCTCCCAACGGGGCAGCACTGATCCCCTGGGGAGCCACCCTGTGGTCTCCTTTGATAGGGACAGCGTGAGAGAGCGAAGTGAAGGGAGGAGTGTCCCTCTAGTGGGTGACCTGCCTCATTACCATCACAAAACGCTCCTCCCCAACACCCGGATTATCAAACACACCCCACCTCACTTCATCATCACGGGTTTAATAAAACACTGCGCAGCCTGCAGCTGCCTCTGGCCACCCTCTCGCCCATGGGAGCGGGGTGTGAGGCCTCACCTCTCGCTTTTAGACCTAATTGCTCAATGCATATTTCATGAAGGTTTGCGGGTGATAGTTATGTTAAATCGCTTCTTTTCACGATGAAATGACTTTAAAAAAATACTTGCATGCAATATTTATGCAGGAGAAGGGAAAGGAATTGTCCTCGGGGGATGGCAGGGGAGGACCCGGTTACAGAAAGTGGCACGCACAGGCTTTCTGGTGGCCGCTGAGTCGGAAAGGGAATTGGGAACTGCTCTCTAGAGCCTGAACGATCCGTGGCTCCCCAGTGGGCAGGCAGCACGCCCGGAAGTGGGCTCTTACCACTGCAAGCTCGTGAGATCCGCATGCAGGGAGCCCTGTCCTGTGTGTTCGTCCTGATGGCCATGCCTGGCACACGGAGGGGCACCAGGCCCACTCTGAGGTGGGATAAGCAAGACCTACACACTCAAACTCAGATTCCACTGATGACATGGGTACAGTTCTGTCTCCCCATCAAATGGGTGCCCTTATGGTGGCAAAGAGGCGGTACAGTCCCAGTCCCAGTGGACCCTCAGGCTTGAGACAGTGGGATGACAGGGTGAGCTCTCTATGAAGTCTGCACCAATAGCATGGATGCCGCCACTGGGGCCAAGGAGGCTTCCCTTCTCCTGAGGCCGACCCTCACCAGCCTATGCTCCTCTGAGATCAACGTGCTCACTGTCTGCTCTGCACTCCCCCCAGCACCTTGAGTTATCCAGCAGTGTTTGGGGGACACGGGGGTGCCCCGAGCATCCAGAGGCCAGGGATGCACCCAGACACATGCCTGCTCCCTGTGACCAGTCTGGCCCCAGGTGCCAGCGAGGTTAAACTCCGGCCTTCCCTAGTGGGCAGTGAGTGCCTTGAACTCACCACCTGTGAAAAGGAGGTACCAGCAGAGTCCACCCTCGGGGCTGCAGAGGGAGACAGGACACTCCTCCCCACCCAGGGCAGGGTACTACACTGGGGCCTGAAGACACTGGGGGATGGCCAGCTCGAACCTGACTCCAGGACAGTTAGCTTCCACAGCCCAACTGGGCATCGAAGCGGGCACCCCAAAATTCCCTCAGGAGCCTTGTTCCCGGGCAGTGTTCTGGGAAGCAGGCTGGCAAGCTGAGATAGGGCTGGCAGCAGATTCCAGCTCTGGTTTTTGAGGTCAAGAGCAGGGCCCTGATGGAGATGCAGGACTCAAGGCTTGGGGGCCCTGGCAGGAGCCTGCTTCTCGCACACTGGGCAGGAGATGGCAAGTGAGCTGCTGGCCATCTGGTCTGCCTGGCTGGCTCCATGCCGTCGGGGCCGAACCCTGAGCGCGTCTGTTGTCTGTATGTCTGGTCTGTTGCTCTCAGCCACACTGACCATCCAGAAGCTCCGGACACAGCTATGCAGTTCCTGGGCTAAGCAGGAGAACCTCAGTGCTGGCTGATGTTGGACAGGGCTCTTCTGCCCTTAGGTCCATGTCCAGGAACACCAAACGGGGACTTCACACCATCTCGGAGGCACGATGCCACACAGGGGACCTGTGAGCGTGGCAGTGAGGAGAGGCCTCTCTGTGAACACAGTCAGGGTCTCCGGCATCTATTGAGTGCCGACTGTGTGCATGGCACTGCATCCAACAGGGGGAGAGGAGACCCCAGTTGGGGGCTTTGAGACTACTTGGTGTGGCAGAGTTAGCTCCATTTGGTAATGCTCAGGGGTCAGAATGCCCTTGCTCCTTGCCCCCATGCCCCCCACTGTGGACACCACCATTGGCTCTGACTGCTCTAGCCCTGCAGTGATGGCGGCACGCCCCTCATCATGCCCCATCCTTGAGTCAGGAGCTCTTACCTGCTCCCAGGCTCGTACCCTAGGAGCCCTGGCCACAGGTGACATAGCTGCTGGCCTTAACAGCTACTCCTACAGCACTCATTAACTGGCACATCATCACACAGTGCACACAGTGGCACCCCCTCCCTAGGATGGTGGAGCCTCCATAAACACAGCCCAGGGACTCTCCTGATGGTATGGCCTTTGTCATATTATTCAGCATGCATGGGCCATGGGGATGACCAGCTTTCCCAGTATAGCCGCATGCTATGGGCTCCCA